TACCGGTACCTGATCTTTGACAAGCCAATTAAAAACATTGAGTGGGGAAAAGATTCCCTGTTTAACAAATGGTGCTGGGTGAACTGGCTGGCAACCTGTAGAAGGCTAGAGAATATTAATGTCAACTCCTCTCCTTAGCCCTAGTTGGACAGGCTGGCGCTGAGTACCTGATGCTGCTCTATGCCTGACCCACGTGGGGCCCCAGGCTGTGCCTAGAGCTGTTCAGGATCTGGCCCTGCCTTCAAGGAACCACTCTCCCACCTGTTCCACAAACTGGAAACTAAACATGGTCACATCACATTTCTTTCTTTCTTTCTTTCTTTTTTTTATTACACATCACATTTCTTTAGCTAATTCCCCCAACTCACTTGCCAGCATGTAGGAAGTTCACATCCTCCTTGTAGCTTCATCCTCCCTCCAAATTGCCCCCAAACTCTGGACCTTCAACAGCTCACAAGGGGGACTGTTTGAGCTCTCCTGTCCCCACCCCCAGCTCAGGGCCAGCCTGAGGTCCCTGGTACGTGCCTTCCAATGCTTCTTGCCGCCACGTGGGGGCGCAAGCCAACTTCCACGGAGTCCAACCCAAAGGCCGGTGCAGGTGCCTCCGGCTGCCTGACGTGTCCAGGATGCGGGTGGCCCCGAGGCAGAAATCCTGCCTCCTCCACATAGGGCACAGCTCTTAAAACTTGACCCTCTCCGTCACCCCTCAGCGCACACACTCCTGCCCTTGGCCGAGACTGTTCCTGGCTATACACAGGTCTCCTTCGTTTTCCACCCCCACAACCTTGTCCAGGACTGGCCAAGCGTGGGGCAGGAGTATGGCCACTTTTCAGAAATTCGGCAGTACCTAAATACTTTGGGCGCTCCTTCCCCAGCCTGGAGGATCTTTATCTGGATCAAGAGTGGGCATGCCTGCTCCCCCGCCCCTGCTTTCACTCTGGGTGACTCCTGGGAATAGGAATTGGGAACTAAAAAGCCCAGAGTTGGCCTCTTCTGTAATACCTGGTAAGGAGAAGCAGGTTATATCAGGGAGGAAAGCCTTGGTTATTATTTTTAAAGTACCCTTCGGCCAACCTGCGCACATTTCTTGCTTTCCCTTACCCAGATTTTCACTTCGGACCCGGGCCAACGCCACGGTTGGGGCGTCCCCGGGGTCTGGGATGTTCCGGAGGCGCCCAAAACTCGAAGAGCAACTTCAGGTCCAGCTGTGCGCTCTTCAGTCACAGACACAGGCCCTTAGTGTCCCGCCACGGCCCTGGTCACCTACCCGTGGGCCCCGCGGGCGCTTAGCGTGGACGGGCCGAGCAGGGAAGGCACCCCAGAGACATTTGTAGAAACCAACTTTGGGGACCTGGGGTTCCAGAGAGAGGTTTAGGAACAGTCGATAAAATGCGGGAATTGAGAGCTGGGATGGGGTTTCTAGGAACGTTTTAGGGAAAAAGGAAGGGGCCTAGGACAGCGCGCAGACAGATGCCGTTATGTGGAGGCGCCAGAGAGGGCGGAGCCAGTCCGCGGGACTTTGAGCCGCCGCTTCCTGAAATCCGGGCTGAGAAGGGACTGAGCGCGGAGGAACTGAGAGCGAAGCAATCAGTGTTGCCAGGGACAACGCGTTATGGGCGGAGCTTTAGCCTGAAGGAAACGGGGGAGGAGCCAGAGCGGAGTTGTGATTGGTGTAGACTACATGCTCGGGGCAGTGTATGGGCTGGGGCGGTGTCAAGGTGGGGGCGGGGGTTTAGGGGGCGGGGCGGGGCGGGGGCGGGCCCTGAAAGCTAGAGCTGGAGGCGGAGACCTGGTTGGCGGGGACGGACGCCCTGGGCGGGGTCGGAACCAGCGGGGGCGGAGCCGAGAAGGCGGGGGCGGTGCTGGGTCGCGCCGGGCCTGGGGCCGAGGCGGCGCGCGGCGCTGACAGCTGAGTCGGCTCGCGGCCTCCCGACCCCCTCGGCGCCGGTCCACGACCCCGGCCTGGCCTGCCCCGGAGCCATGAGCCCCGGGCTCCTGCTCCTCTGCAGCGCTGTCCTGCTCGCCTTCGGCCTCTGCTGCACCTTCGTGCACCGCGCTCGCAGCCGCTACGAGCACATCCCCGGGCCGCCGCGGCCCAGGTGAGCGGGGGTGGGGGCGGGGTCTGGATGGGGCGCTCGAACCAGGGACCCAGGGCCGCGTCTAAGCCAGCTACGAGGCCGGGGGGGTCAGACCTCGCCTTTTGCGCTGGGCCGCTTGGAGACGGCGGCCGGGAGAGGGGCGCTAACTATTCTTAGTAACAAATTACTCACAGCCGCAGCAGCTGTTGGGCGCCCACCACGCTCGGCTGGGCCCCACAAACGTGCTGGCAGCGACAACCATGTCAGGTAGGCGCTATTGTTACCCCATCGTTCAGACGAGGAGACTGAGGCGCACGGAGGCGAAGTCACCTGCCCAAGGTCACACGTTTGGTAAGCCTAGATTTAAACCCAGGTCAGCCTGGCTCCAAAGTGGGTGCTGTTAACTTTGGAACTTGGACAAGGTCTACTTGTAATTAGAGCACACTATACTTTGCTCATACTCCCTTTTTTTGTTATTTCTGTCCTGGGACATCCCATGTGTCTTCTCCTTTGTTAATTCCGTTCCATTCTTGGCTCCCACCCAACTTATCAACCCTTCCCCCCCCACACACACAAAGTTTACCTTTGTGAAGCTTAATTAGATATGTTTAATTTAAGGTCTTCCTGTTACTTTAGAACTAAATCCAGTTCTAAATTAAGTCTGCTGTAAGGCCAGCAGGGCCCCTGCTGAGCTCTCAGAACCCACTCTGTGCTGTTCTCTTCCCTCATGTTTTCCTCACTGATGCTCCAGTCTCTCTGCTCCCTACTCCTCAGCAGCTTCCCTCCCACAGAGTCTTCTGGTTTCCCTTTTCTCAAGCCTGGGTCTGGTGGGTTTCCTCCTCTGCTCATCTCAAACAGATCTTTCCTGACCACCCTGTGTAAAGCCTATCCAGTCCCAAACTCCACATGGGGCCATCACCTCCGAAGTTACCTTCTTTCCACCTGTTGACTGTCTGTTCACCTGTTGACTGTCTTCTCTTTTAGAATGTAAGCCCTGGAAGGGCAGGGATGTTGTATGTTTTCTTGTGTATCCCCAGTGCTCAGCATGTTGCAGCTGCTCAATAAATATTTGATAAACAAATGAATAAACAATGGTATTAGACACACTTCTAAAAATCTCAGGACATGAACATTCTAGAAGGCACCTAACTCCAGCACAAGCTAGATGTACTGGCTTTAGAAGCCTGAATCTCTGTTTGGTGGGGTCAGGAAAGAGTTCTATGGCTGGTAACATAGGGAGGAAACTGTTCTCCATGCTGGCTCTCTGCCTGCCCAGTATCCTCTCCCACCTTGCTTAGCAGTTCTGCCTTCTACTTTGCCTGGGTGGTTCTTCCCCAGCCTTCTGGGTTTGGCTTAAATGCTAATTCCTCAGGGATGTTCCTCCTGCTCCTGTAAATATATTATGTTCTTTTTATAAACCCTTAAGTCACTGTATAATTCTCTTTCATAGCATAATGTTAATTGGGTAACTGTGCAACTTCATGTTAAGTGTCTGTCTCTTCCATGGGCCCCACATCTGTCTCAGCCACTGCTGTGTCTCTGACATCTGCACAGCAGCATGTGGTACATGCATAGTAGACACTTGATAGTGATTCAAGGTTAAATGGTGGAAATGTCATGTAAGTTTTTTTAAGTACATTGTCACCCTTTCAAGGTTTCAAATCAACCATCAACACTGGAAATTGAATGAATTTTTGCTTGTTCTGATAAGTTTCATCATTAACTTGGCCTTCTCATAAATTCAAGTGACCTGCTCTCTGTCTTGAGAAGACAGAACTTTAAAAACCTTTTTAAAAAAAATTGAAATGTAACTTACATACCATAAAATTTATTCTATTAAAATGTGCAATTTAGTGGGTTTTAGTCTATTCTCAGCATTGTGCAACCATTGCCACTACTTTCAGAACTTTTTTGTCACTCCAGAAAGAAACCCTGAACCCATCAGCCATCACTCTTCATTTTCCTCCACCTTCCACAGTCCTGGCAACCACTAATATGCTTTCTGTCTCTATGGATTTGCTTATTCTGAACATTTCACATAAACTGAATCATATAACATGTGGCCTTCTGTGTCTGGCTTCTTTCACTTAGCATAATGTTTTTAAGGTTATCCATGTAATAGCATGTGTCCATATTTCTTTCCATTTTATGGATACATTTTCCCCCAAATTTTATACAAGAGTCTACATGTGACCTATGGATGTGTGGGGGGAGGGAGGAGTGGGAGGAGGTTGAATATAATTATGATTGGGCTCTTTATTCTAAGGATATGAATGGAACAATGCATATAAAAAAGATTTGGGATCAAAAATTGGTTGGTGGTCAAATATAAAACTGCACTAAAGGAAAGTTCTGGAACTTCTTCTAGCATAAGTCAGATGGTTTGGCATTAAAAGCCTGGATCGTTAAACCGTGACTGGCAGCCCCGTGGTTAACCAGAGATCTGTGTATTGAGTCTCCATGAGTGGCATTTGCCCATTGGTGTTCCAGGGCTTTGCCAGTTTGCAGGCAAGGAGCCCTGCAAGAGGTCGCCCTTCATCCTCCTTATTCTGTGGGAGGGTCCAAGAGGGCCTCCTCTGTGCTCTTATTACAACATTCTACTGCAATGATCCATGTAACAGCTGAAAACTCAGACACCCCCCTCCCATCCCACTCACATACTCAGCTCCCACACAAACATTTATAGCTTCTTTATGTCTCTGACACTGATTGAGCTTTCCTCATCGGCCCTTACTGTCCTGGCCATGAGGAAATGGATGTATACTTGGCAATGAAAGGTCTCTGTTTTTGTTTATTTCAGAATACATTTTTCAATTTTGACTTCAGGGCAGTGCTGGTTCCATTTCGATTTGCTGAGTTGCTGGGTGGGGCCGTTCAGCATGGAGCAGCATGGCTCCTAATCAAGGTGGAGGCCCATTGCTGGCAGTGTCGGGTAGTGCAACCAATGGACTTTAAGTTACTGGCTGAACTCTCACCTATACCTCTGGCACAAGGCATAGTCTTGGCTGCTCACCCTCATTGTCTCCCTAGTGGGTAGCCCACTCCTTAGCCTTTGTGTGGGCTCTTTTCATCCCTCTGGGTGGCTTCACAGTGGGCTTTCCGGATGGCCTCTGACCTGGTTACTAAGCCCACAGGAAACCTTGGATTCCCAGCTAGCTGATGGAGCCCAGTGTTACTAGAAGCCAAATGGCAGGGTGGAGAATCCTTGCTTGCCCTCTTTCCCTGGTTTGCTCTGCCATCCCCAGTCTATCACCAAGGGCATGCCAGGTGGGCTTCTGTCTACCCTGATGCTGAACAATAAGTTCCAGTGTCCTACCACCCCCTCAGTTTGAGCTGCCTATTTCTAACACCTGGTCTTCCTGCTGTGTAGGCTCTTCCCCAGCGCCCCCTGCAGAAACTGGAAGGAAAGGGTTTTAGTTCTCTTTCTTGCCTGGTAGTGGGGGGTCCCCACCCAATACTCTCTGCCTTCTTGAGGTGGCACATGCCTCCCTTCTCAGGTGGCAGTGGACCCCAGTGATTAGGATGGAGGCTTTGGGGTCATACAGGGGAGGTAGGGTCCAAATTTTCCTCAGGTGCCTCAAGATAGAACATTCCCCCCAAATGTAAGCTTTGGAGAGTGAAAGTGAGGATACTAGATGATTCTGGAAATATAGCCAGTTGTGTGTGATGTCCACAGCCCATATTCCTGCGGGTTAATGGTGTAAGTTTAAAACCACTCACCTAGACCCCCCTACCCCCTCCCTCACTGGGCCACAGTACACTTCTCTCTCTAATTTGTTCTCCCACTCTCCAGGCGGTTTTCTTGCCTTCTCCTCAACCCCCATTCTCTCCCCCTCCATCCACACTCTCAGATTTTATTTTTGCCTCCTACTTGCCCTAACAAAGAATGCAGTGGAAGAGAATTTCTTCCCTGGCTCCACTGCAGCAGCTGCCCGCCTCCCTACCTAGGGCCTACATGCACCTCTGAGCTATTTGGTCTGAGGGTCCCGGCCAAGGCCAGCCTGCTCCTCTACCCAGTAGCTCCCTAGGCAACCCCACCTCCATCAGTTTTCCTTCTCTTCTGCCTCATTCCCATGTTTTATATAATATGCTGTAAGAATCCCCAGCTTGGAAAAAACCCTTCTCTTTACCCTCCATTCCCCTCCAGCTGCTTCCCCCTGCCACAACCCCCACCCCACTGCCTGTCTTTGGGCCTCCACTTCCTCCCCTCCCATTCTCTCTCACACCCATCACCCCCTTGGGCTTCAACTTCTACCTCTCCATCAAACCCATTTTGGTCCAGGTGCCCAGTGAGCTCGTGTTGCTGAACCCAGTGGTTCTCCCTGGTCCTCATCTGACCTGGCCCCTCAACAGCTGGGACAGAGCTGAGTCCTCCCTCCCCCTCATCCTGCTCTCTTCCCTGACTTCTCTCCCCTCTGCTCCTTCCTCCCTGATCATTCTCCTTGGTTACCTGTCCCTTGGCTGCCTGACACCTGACCATCCTTGGTCCTCTTCTCTGCACTCATGCCCTTGTGGTGGACTGGAAACACCACCTCTCTGCTGCGAGCTCTCCTGAATTCCAGACTTAAGTGTCTAATGTCCTGCTCAATATTCACCACAAATCTAACAGGTCAACAGCCAAGCTCCTAATTTCATCTGCTGATCCACTTGTCTCAGATTGTGTCCTGCTCCCCAAAGGTGATCCTAAGACAGGAAATGAAGTGTAGGGCCAGGCACAGTGGCACCTGTCTATAATCTTACCACTCTGGGAAAGCGATGCAGAAGGATCCCTTGAGCTCAGGAGTTCAAGACCAGCCTGAGCTAGAGTGAGACCCCACCTCTACTAAAAATAGAAAAACTAGCTGGGCATTGTGGTGGGTGCCTATAGTCCCCAGCTACCTGGGAGGCTGAGGCAAGAGGATCACTTGAGCCTTAGAGTTTGAGGTTGCTATGAGTTGTGATGCCACAGCATTCTACCCAGGGTGACAGAGTGAGACTTTGTCTCAAAAAAAAAAAAAGTGTAAGTAGTTTATGAGTAGGATGACTCCAGGTTGGGGGTGGGGGTCGACAAAAAAAGAAGATAGAATAAAAAAATGAGGACAAGTTACCTCTGGGGAAAACTGAGGTGCAATTGCCCAGGAACCTTGAGGGCTTGTGTAGAGCGCGTGCCCCAGAGCTATCCCACCAGCAGTGAGGGAAGTTGGTGTCATCAGAGCAGGGCTGCGGTGCTGCCGTGTGATCATCTACTAGGACTTCTGGCCTGTACATCTTTCTGGGCAGAGTCAGAGAGAGCCCAGGCATAGTTGCAAGGTGGGCACTATGGCATCTGCTGCCCCCTCAAGTTCCTTTTCCTTCCTCATTATCTCAGTAGATGGCAGATCCACCCATTCTCAAAGTTGCCCAGGCCAAAAGCCCTGGAGTCATCCTCCCTCACACCCCACATGCAAACCGTCAGCATGGTGCATTCAGAATCTGACTTCTGACCCCCTCCCTGGCCCACTAGCCTGGCCTGAGCTCTCACCACCCCTCACTGCCCCTCATTGGCACTCTGTCTCCACCCATCTCCACCAAGATTAAAGCAAAAGTCTAGACAGCAGCTCATGAGGCTCTCTGTAATCTGCCCCCAGCCTTGGTGACCATGTCTTGTACCACTTCTCCATGCCGCACAGACCTCCTACTTCAGGCCCTTTGCACCTGTTGCTCCCACTGCCTGGAATGCTTTTTTCCCAGATACCTGGATGGTCAAATCCCTCACTTCTTGCAAGTCTTATTTCACAGCTCACCCTCTTAGAGGATCATTTTGGGCCCTGCCTATGTAAAATGGCCATTCACATACCCATCCTAGCACTCCTATTCCCCCATACTCTGTTTTATTTTACTCCCATTATTCTCTGATCTTGCATTTATTTATTAGTTCATTTATTTACTCTCCATCTCTCCCTGGGAGAATGTGAATTCTCTGACCCAGCAACTCCAAGTATAGTTTTGACTTTGACCTTGATTGGAATAAAGTTATACAAAAGACAGAAAGTCATGGCCACCTTGGAATGTGCTTCAAGGTGACACCCACTAGGCTTGTTTACAGTCTGGTGGTCACACAGCAGACTTACATGACCAACTGTCCCCCCCAAAGGAGAAGGGCTTTGGGGAGCCCAGGTACCAGCTGTGCAGCTGTGGGCAAGTGACTTTATTGATAAGTAAAATGAAGGCCAGTTCAAAACACAGGAGACCAAATGTAATAAACATCTTGGGAAGTTTATTTTATACTTATATACAAGTGGGCTGAAATCTAAAGAGCTCTCAGCAGCCTAAGGGAGGGAGACAGTTCTATATATGGCAGGTTGAAGAGCAGTTGGTCTTACAGACAAGTCTTTCTTATCAGCACGCCAAGGATGTGCCGCTTATTATTGGAACTCTCTGGCTGACTCTTCTTATGGTGTCAGAGGCTTGTGTGTAAGCATAATTCATACAGGTTTGTAAGTGGATGGGTGCAAGGAGCCAAGAGCCTGTGGCATGTCTCTCATCTGAGGTACGACCACCTGTAACAGAGTCTCACAGAATGTTTTTTTCAGATCTAAGATAGAGTTAGCTTGGCCAATCTAACATTTGCCTCTCTAGTCTTGGCTGTGCTGCCTCTTATTTGGTTAATAACAGATGTGGGAAGTTAGAGGGAGTGAGGCTGGCATGGTGCCAGCACAGAGTAAATATCACTGACTCTCTGAAGGCAATTCATACCTTTTTACTGGGCCTGTTCCATGTACCAGCCCTTGACCTCTGTGCCTTTGGAGCTGGTCATACCTGGTTTGCATCCCGTCTGTATCTTTGCTGCCTGGTGACCCTGAAGCAGCACATAACCCCCCTGAGCCTCATTTCCCCATCTGTGAGTGGGCCTAGTAGCATGAACTTACAGGGGCCTGACGGGAAGGGAGAGTTTTTTACCGGTGACTGCTGGCAAGCCTAATGTTTCCTATTCCTTCCAGTTTCCTTCTAGGGCACCTCCCTTGCTTTTGGAAAAAGGACGAGGCTTGTGGCCGTGTGCTCCAAGATGTATTTTTGGACTGGTGGGTTCTAACTTGTCATTCATTGCCCTTACTCAAGGTGCCCCCTGGGACAAGTCCCCCCACCCAATCCAGCACACCAACTCCCAACCCCACCCTGCCTTGGCCCAGGGCTCCCCAGCCCCAGCAGATCCTCATAGAAAGGCAAATGAAGATGGTTTAGAAGCCAAGTTCTGCCATTCACCAACTCAGGACCTTAGACCAGCCATTGGAAGCTCTCTGACTTTCAGTTTCCTCACTGGTAAACTGGTTGGGGGTGTGACCAGATAACAGTCACTGTTTGGGACAGTACTGTACACGTTTCAATGTACTTTTAAAGATACTGTATCATTTGGTTCTCAGGACAACCCTCTGGGGCAATCAAAGGAGGGGTATTGCAACTCTATTCCACAGATGTGGAAACTGAGGCACAGAGGGCAGAGCTTCACCCCCACATTTCTGGGACCCCAATGCAGCACTCTTTTTGTGACCCATGTTGAGTACCTCCTGGGATGAGCTTCTTTTGTTTCTCCTGCTGGGTGGGGCTGTTGAAACTCACGTCTTGGGAAGGTGACAGCTTCCTTTGGGTCATTTTGTTTTCAGGGCTAAGAAGTATGGACCTGTTGTGCGGGTCAATGTCTTCCACAAAACCTCAGTCATCATCACAAGCCCTGAGTCAGTCAAGGTAGGTCATGGAATGGTTTCTATGGGGAGGCACCTTCCTTTCTCTGGGTTGGGGGCATGAAGCTTGGTCCCAGGGAAGAATGTTCCAGAGCTAGGTACATGTGGGCTGGTTTCCCAAACATCCAAAAGAGAAGGGAATCCTTCTATATAACAACACATCATTTTGTGGGAGGGGCTCTTCCAGGCATTGCTATTTAATGCAGAGAGTGAATGGGAACTTTGCTGTCCCCATTTGGATTGGAAACTTTGCTCAGTTGGTGCACACATATTTAGTTTACCTTCTTCATCTACAAGATGTAGATTATAACCTTATCCCCCAGGTCTATGATGAGAATTAAGTATTGATTTGTTTATTTAGTAAATAAAATGTCAAAAAATCCTGAAATAGTGCTTACTATGGGCTGTGTACTTTGCTATACCCCTTATAATTAGTAACTCACTTAATGCTCTAAGAATAGGGACTATTTTTAGTCTCCATTTCAGAGATGAGCAAACCAAAGGAAGTGACATTACCTGTTATGTCTGCCATGAAGGTGCTAAGAATGGGCATCAGACCACCTACAAAGTAGGTGGGCTCAAATTTTGGCTTCATGACCAACTGGTTGTGGGACCTTGGATAAATTGCTTCATCATTCTGGGCCTCAGTCTCCTCATCTGTGAAATAGGGATGATGCCTCTCTTATAAGATGGTTGTACAAATGGAACTGAAATGATATACATAAGCCAACTAGCCCCTACCTGGCACGTAGCAATTATTCAATAAACAATGATGCATTATTCTCATAATGGGTGCTCAGAAGATGTGTGGATAGGATTCTCTGCACGAGGGTGGCTGTGGTGACTCTGAGAGGGATAAAGTACAATACCTGGATTCATATCAAGAGACAGGTTAAATAACCATTGTTTATTATTCTCTAACAAAATGTTAAAAATCACTTTTTTCAAAAAGTTTTACACAATTTAAGACTTTTAAAAGCATGCTGTAAAAAACCATACCCAAAGACATTCATGACAATAAAAAGAGAAGCTTAAAGATGTATATTAATATGGTGAATTATATTTATTGATATTCTAGTGTTAAACCAACCTTGCATTCCTGGTCATGATATATTATCTTTTTTATATGTTGCTAGATTCAATTTGCTAAGGGTTTTTTTTTTTTTTTTTTTGATATAGAGCCAGAGTCTCACTCCGTCACCCTCAGTAGAATGCTGT